GGGGGGGGGAGAGAGAGAAAGAGAGAGAGAGAGACAGAGAGAGAGAGAGAGAGAGAGAGAGAGAAAGAGAAACACCTATGAACTGGTGAATTTTGTTTCACCAGGTGCTAGGAGGAAGCAACAGTAGCCTTTTTGATATGGGAGGCAAATTCTGTGGCCCCTGAAGTTAGGCCACAACAATGGGAGAGGTCAAAGGACAGCTGAGTGGGGTCAGTGAGACACCATGGGGTGTATTTTGTTACTTAGTAAAAGGAGCAGCCTCCTAAAACCTTAAAGGATTCTGTTGAAAAATCTGTGTTGTGAAAAGGTTTTATGAGTCTCATGGCAAAAAGTACTGATTTATCTAAGGAATGCTTGCTTTTTGTCTGAATGAAAGGATAATCCTTACCAAATGTTGGCAACTTATTTATAAGCAATCAGTGTAGGTCTGAAAGGACAGTTAAGGTTGGAGTGTACTTTAGTTTCCAAAATGCTTATCATTTTAATGTTTCTGTAGCAGAGAATTCTCTGCTAGTGACATGCCATTTGTTCTTCAGACTCAAACCCAAATAAATTTTCAAGAAGAGGAAAGATAAAATGAATGAATGATGTAATAAGTTTTTGGCAAATGTTTCCCTTCACAGTAATTAAGTATACTTTCTAAAAGCAAAATATATGTACTTTTTAATTTTCTTAAGATAAAATTTCTTTAAAAACTAATTTTTAAGCTCTGTTTCTCCAGAACATTTTATTTCATTGTTAAAGAACTTAAAAGCACAAGAGCTTAGTACAATGTAAAAGGTATCTTTTAATTTATTTTGAATTTTCTGAACTGAACAAATTAATATAATATATAACTCTGGGCCTTCTGGAATAGGCACTTGATTTTTGTGTTTAATGTGATTAGTTGTGTTTAAGTTTAAAGAAAAAGGAGTAAATTGATGACTAAGTGTTGTTTGGTATCATTCCACAAAATTGAATTAAGTACAAGATACAGTATGCTTAGGGGTTTTAGGGATACAGGGATGAAGAAGGACACAGTCTCTGACTATTAGTAACTTACAGTCTTAAAGAGGGACGTTTGTACAAATAATTAATAAAAGTTTAAAAAATGATTAAATGCATAGAAGAGATTAGAGTGGGGGGAGAGAGAGAGAGAGGGAGAGATTGACAGATACAGAAAAGCAGAGGGAAAGAGCAGCCATAGGAGATGATGTGAATGTCTCCACATTTTTGGATTAGTAAGTAGGGAACCAATGTCAGAGTCAAGACCTTAGAGAGGATTTAAAAAAAAGAAAGACAGAAACAATAAAAATTTCATTCTTTATAGAAGAGAAAAAAACCCTCTAGTGCTTGGAAGGACTTTATAACAACCCAGACCTTCCATGGCTCCAAGACCCAAAGATTGTGGATACTTTAGGAAAGAAAATGGTGCTAAGTAGATTTATATGAAAGTGGAATTGTTGTAAGAATGGTGGAAGTTTTGTTGTAAACTTTATAACATACAGTAGGGAGAATATGGATTAAATGAGTAGTAGAAAGCAATTTCTTGATGGATAAATTAATTGTGGAGGTGATTTTCTACATTGCAAAATAGTAAGCATAGTTTCTAAAAGCAATAGATATATGTATGGAAATGATAATGTGCTCCATTTTAATTTTCGCAAGGTAAATAAATGCATCTTTCAAAAAATAATTTAGAATCATAAGTCTCTTGGCTAACAGTTGCTTGTCAAACTCAAGGATTTTTAAATAACATTAAAGTTGGGGCAAAATTGGCAAATAGCAACCTTAAATAAATCTTTAAGGGCCAAAAGATGGAAATACTGTGTGAGAAGATGGAAGGGAAAGATAAAGTTGGCAGGAATGACAGATCTAAATGGGAATGAGAGTGTCAGATGACACTTAAAATTTCAAGTTGATTTAGGACATATTCTCTTTTTGTAACTAGATTTTCTGCAGGATGTCATTTTTAAAAAGCAAAATGAATATTTAGATATATTTAAGTGTGTTCCTCTGTGGAAGACAGGAGGTATTTTACTCTAATAGGAAAATAGAAAATTATGCTACTTTTTTGAAAAAAAAAATTCTGATTCGCAACACTTTAAAACAGTAATTATAAAAAATTAACTTCTCTTTTAAAGATAATACACTACAGGAGGGATCTGTTTTTCCTTTAACTTCAGGCTTACAGGTTTTATTAATGACTCATACAAATGTATAAGGAAAAATGAAACCCAGTTCTAGATTTAGGGAATCAGTGAAACAAAAAATTATCTCCTCATTTAATTATAGTCATTAATTGTGTTAGTCTGGGTACTATGCTCAATTCACTTTGAAGACTTAGGAAATAATATAGAAAAGGAAGAAAAGAGAAGGGATGCAGATGAATATTTCAAATAGCTCCTTGTGCTGCTCCCAGAACAACTCAAAAGTTGCAAGTCTGAAAAATTGGAGAAAAGTAGCTTTTGAAATTCATTTCTAGTTTGAAGGGAGCTGGCTTTTGCCTCAGGCGTCTCATGCAAATTTCTCATGATTGTTATGATAAACACCTCAAGTTTTGGTTCTTTGTTGAAGTTGTATGGACAGCTCTATGTGTGGCAAGCATGATGAATGTTGTAAGCCACACTTTGGAAGCATTTCCTTGTATTTAATGTTTTCTGTTCTGGCTGATTAGCTTTGTTCTATGTTGAAAAATTGGTCTCTGGTGGCATGGTAGTGGTCACACATTGCCTATTACTGTTCTGTATCTTTGATGTTGCCCAGGGATAGCCTCTGGTCATTACACTAGCTCCAGAGATTCTTGACAGAGACTTGTTTATTTTACTCAAGAATTCATGGTATTCAAGGAAGAAAGTTAAGACTTCCAGAAGTAACAAATAACTCTTTATTACATGGAAGAATAGTGGAATTTGGTGGGGGGGATAGAAATACAGAAAATATGTAAATAATTTTCATTGAAACATGAGAATGGCAGTTGCTTCTTAGCAGTTATTTCTAGTCAGAGTTCTTATATTTATATACACACAAATATGTATATGTGTGTGTGTGTTTTAAGAGCTAAGTTGCTACATATATTTACACAATTTAAACTTATAGTTTTGGCTAAGAAGTTGTCAGAACAGAGATAGGACAACTTTTGCATTCTCCAGACTATTGAAAATGATCTTTGTGTCTTTGTAGGTGGCACAGTGAATAGAGTGCCTGACCTGGAGTTCAAGTCCAATCTCAGACACTTACTAGCTGTGTGACCCTGGGCAAGTCTCTTAACCCTGTTTGCCTCAGTTTCCTTATCTGTAAAATGATCTGGAGAAGGAAATGGCAAATCATTCTAGTATCTTTGCCAAGAAGACCCCAAATGGGGTCGCAAAGAGTCAGACATGACTAAAACAACTCAATAACAACAACATATTTAGAATATTTTGAGGAAGAATAGAGCATAAAAACAGAATAAATCACTTATTTTTAATGAATTTGGTGAAATGAATAGCCATGTGGTTTTTGGAAATATGCTTGAATAGACAGTACTGTCTATGAATAGTTTCTAATCTAAACCATTTGAATTTATAATTTTAATAAAATTTATTGTACAGAATGAAATGAGAAAACATTACTCTGTAATAGCAATAAAAATAATACATTTATATAGCACTTTAAAATTTGCAGAGCACTTTATTTTATAAATAAAGTATAAATAAAATAAATAACAATCCTATGAGATGGGTGTTGTAT